GGAAACATTTTCCGTGGAAAATTTCGTCTATCAAACAGTTAAAAAAGTGGGAAATTGAAAATATTTTCCTAGTTTCATGGAAAATTTCGCCAATCAAACGAAGCTAAACATCTTGTGAGAATTTTATGTTGAATTAGCGGTAAGAGAATTTTGCTACACCTTGTGAGAATTTAAGGTGAGGAAAGTTAGAATCACATTATTTTGGAAGAATGTATTTTGGAATAGTCGATTGATGGAGAATGCGTGGATGGAAAATAAGGAAAAATTATTGATGGAATGAAAAATATTATTTTATTAAAAATTATGTGGTTAAAAATGAGTATAAGAATGAGAATAAGAATTTTAATGAGGCTCAAACGAGGGCTAAATATTTGCAAAAATTGCTCCGTGCATCTCCAATAATAACGTGGATTGTATTCATGTAAGCAAAAGTTATTAAATGTTTGCAAAAGTTGTTGTTTAAAGTAATTTAAATGGGGAATCATCTAGGCATATTAAGAAAAAAATAGACGTTGNCATATTAAGAAAAAAATAGACGTTGTAAAGATGTTCGTCTATATGTAAAAGCTTAGGTCAAACGGAGTGAATTAACAAAATGAACTCTCTCATTTTTTTTACTATCCTATTAAATATATTGCGGATGGAATTTAAATTTTCTAGTCTATTTATCAAACATCAACGTCACGTGAACTATAAATATTTTTATTTATCTACATTAAAGTGCAATTCATTAAGTGCATTGAAATGCTCTTATATATAAATTTTGATACATTTTAAACAAATGCATAGATTTCAAGTTGAAATAACAATATGAACTTCTGTCTAGTAAGTGGAGCAACTTTAGAGCGCAGACTCTTTTTGTTCAAGTATTTTAGTTTTGACTCTTAAAATCTTGTAGAGATGACAATAGGATGCGGTCGTGTTCTATCAACAATTTTTAGGAGTCTGGAGAAATTAAAATATTATATTTTACTGTCTTTATTTATTTCTATATTTAACTGCAATTTCAATTGAAATGAATAGAAAATAAAAAATAAGAATATAGACGAGTTTGAGGCAGGACCATGTTCTTGTATGGCCCCAGTACCACCAAGACTTGAAGTCCCGAAGTCGGACAACGGGTCATGGAACAAAATATTTTTCCATCCTGAAATCCTTGTACTTTTCATGTGTTCTATAAATTCATTAATGTTTAGCAAACCTCATTGAATTTAGTAACTGTTTGGTCTTCATTAAGTTAAAATTAAGAATAATGTTGGGAGTACAGGATGATTATTACAGGCAAATTACACGATTTTAAATTTGCCTTACGTGGCAGTTTTCTAAAAATAAAAAACACAATTGACCGGCTGACTTCAAGGAAGCAGAAAGAGAGGGAAATCATTTCTTTCTCCCACAATTTCACACCACCATTGTCAGCCATTCAGCCCCATTTTCAGCCACCTCATTCACCTGAATCACCTCCATTTTCAGCCGTCCGCCTCCATTTTCAGCCGTTCACCTCCATTTTTTTCAGCCGTTCACCTCGTATTCAGCCGTTGTCATTCTTTTTTATGGCAAAGATTGTGGTTCTGTAAAAGAATGGCATTGTTGGTCAACTCTTCGACAGTTATTGTTTTGATGCTATCTTCATTCTCACAGCATTTGCACCTTCTGTGGTTTTTGACAACAGATCCAAAACCCCACTTACAGGTTGGATCTTTAATCCTGCTAAGCATTTGCTATGTAATATAAATGAAAAGGTCTAAGAGAACTGCAACATTGTGTGGTAAATAGATATATGAACATAAGGTATAGATGAACAAAACTGAAAATCGAACTCCTAATTGAACAAAATTGAACAAAACTAAACTCATAATTGACAACATTACACACCTCATTCCCATATTCATTCAAATTTGGATCCAGCATAACCGAACTCAAACATGAACAAAACAGAAACAACAAAGTGCATTCAAGCTGAACAAGTTTTTAATGTCAAATAAAACCTTCCGTTTACTACTTCGGTCTACAAAGTTTACAAGCAATATCAACAGAACTCCTTTGGATTTAGACTCGTCTTATTTGGCTCCTACAAACTGGCTTAGTATCTAGGATTCTACGAATGCTCCTAGGACTTCAACACTAATAATTTGAAGCTATCACGAAGCTTTGCAGATTAACGTTGATAAATTTTTTAGAGAATCTTCAAGAGGTGACTGCAAAACATATTCAAGATACTTCTCAGCAGCAACTTACAGCCTTTTCTTGTCCTCAATTTCCAATGTAGCCAAAGCTTTATCCTGTACAAATTGAGACCCAAAATCAATTTCTCTCGAAGAGAACTGAAAAGGAGCAAAAATGGCATATTGTTAGCAAGAAATGGGCACTATGGGGGGCAAATCTTGGTAGCTTCTCCGAGTGTCAAGAATCGGTTTTGTTTTCTTTTCCAGATCCTTCCTATGCTCTGCCATTTCTACCAAAACCAGCATTATCACGTGTCTTTATTGATTCCTAGGTTGTTATTGAAGTCGTATTAGGAGTATCAGTTCCCGCCACAATTTCGATATCAACAGAATGCTACGGTCGGATATATCGCTGTAGCCGTCGCCGTCCACGTCCAGTCGCCGGTAATTAGCGGTGGCAAAAAAGCTCGGCGACTCGAGCTCGGCTCGGGAAAAGCCCGAACCGGGCCCGGCTCAGGCTCGGTCGC